CCCCCCGTCACCACCACAGGGATGGCAGGGAAGAGCTGCTGGGGTGGTGGGGGGATGAGAGACCTGGCACGAGAGTTTGGAGGGCAGGGAGAGGCCAGGGGCGCAACGGCCCAGGGCTGACTCAGAGGGAAGTGCAGCCCAGCCATGACACACGGCTCCGGCTCTCGGGTTTTTGCAGATGTCGCAATGCATGAGAGGCGAAGCAGCCCCTCGCTGCCAGCTGTGTACCGGCAGGAAGAGGCGCGGGGTGGGGGGGACGCCTCAGCTTCCTCAGATCCATTTCCTGGTGCATCGAGGGCCTGGCTTTGGGTGGAGGCAGGCAGCACCTATCTGGGAGCAAGAGGGAAGAGAAGAGGTGCCCAACACAGAGAGGAAAACCCTAGCGACCCAGGCTCAGCTCTCCTGCTTTCCCTAGCCAGCTCCATGCATGGCCCGCGAAGGGGCGCAGGATGTGGCCTCGCTCACCCCCTTGCAGAGGCAGTGGGAGTCAACCCAGTCTCCCTTCTTGCTCCCAGCACTGTCCTTATTGCGGGGATGGCCAGGCTCTCCCAGCACCTGCCTTCCAGCAAGCAAAGCAGCAGCCAATTCAATTCCCTCCTGCCTGCTTAGGGTTTTCTCTCCTCCTGACCTGAAGCCAGGCAGGGAAGCGGGGCCACGTGTAGCAAGCAGAGAAGATGCCCCGAAGGAGCCCGCAGGAGTCCTCCCAGCGTGGCATTCACTCCGGAGGCCACGCTGGATGTCCCCAGACCCCGGCAGGTGGCAAGGGGGATGGAGACACCCCCTCCAACAGGCTCAAACCCTCCAGTGCCTGCATCTTCCTGGCTAAGGGAGCCTCTTAGGAGCATCAGGGCATCAAAGGAGCATTGAATCGAGTCAGATCCGTTTCCATCGACTTCCCTAGTGCACGGCCAGCTCCAGCAGGGCTTGCAAGGGCTGGGGGGGCCCTGTGGTTAAAATGCTGGTGGAGACTGGTGGCTTGAAAGGCTATGCTGGGAGCTAGGTGGAGGCTATGGAGCCCAGCCAGGATGCTGCATGGCTTTCTCCCTGCAATGAGAGCCTCTGGCAGAGAGATGAGAGAGCTTGGAGAGAGCTGGGTGTCCTCAGCCTCCAGGCAGGGAGCAACCAGGGTTTGAGTTCAGAGCTGTGCCTTCCAGGAAATTCGCAGCACACGGAAACAGCAGTGCATCGGGGTCAGCCGGGGGCTCTGACAAGATGCTGGGGAGCACGGCTGAGGGGATCCCCTTCATGCACACACAGCCAAGGCAGGTAGATGCGTGGGAGCCGGTGGCCCGGGAGTCTCCAGGAGGCTGCTGTAAGGAGCAATCAAGTCCGACTTTCTGGATGGCGCCCATCGGCGACACCAGGCCCAGACAGACCTCCCACAAGCACAGCTGGTCATCCTGGCTGTCAGCTGCTTCTGGGCATCCAGGGGCATGGGATGCCCTGCTCCAAATCTGGCAGCCAGTAGGGTAAAGCCACCCAAATCTCACTGAATTTATAATCATGTGAGTGGTTGTAACTAGTGGCCTTGCTTGGTGGTGAGCAACTAGATCATGTCACCGCTTCCAGTCTCCGGCGGCCGATAGGTCCAGGACTGCATCAGCCTGGATGCAGCAGCCTTATCCCCTTGGAAAACACCCTCTGCCCAGCCGAGGCCGTCTCCCAGCCAGCTGCTGGCATTCAGCTCTGAGCCCCCCCATCAGGCAGTGATGCCTCTGCCCAGGGGGCGAAGGCTGGAGCTGCTACCGAACTGTTTTTCCTTGGTGAACAATTTTGGCCCATGCAAAACATGGGAAACAGTGCATGGGGTGGGAGCTAGCAGTGGCACAGCCAGCTTACCATCTTGAGCGGGTTGCACTATCGCTCTCACATGCCTGGTGCCCAGCTCTATCCACACCAGGACAGCACAGGAATCCAGTCTGGGGGTTTTCACAGGCCAGTTGTATAGGTCACCAGTGCAACTTGCAGGCTGTGGGTGGTGAATGGCCCAGCGGGGTCCAGAACCCACCCCTGGCCCTAGCTCAGGTCAGTCTTGACCTGGATTTCCCTCTGCTTGGAGCAGGCTCAGGTTCACTCACCAGCTCCCTGCCCCCCAAAAAGGAAAGCATGAAACTGTCCAGTGGCCAGACCACAGGGCCACGAGATGCTGAAGCAGCCTGAGACAAGAAGCCCGACCATGAAGGAAGCTGTTGCAATAAGCAGGCCGGACTCAGTTTGTGGTCAGCATCAGTCAGGGTTTATTGACGTGACTTCTGCTGCCCCGTACAGCAGGGTGACCTCCTGGGCTCGTGATGCATTTGGACGCAAGTCACCGCATCGGCTCCCCTCCCCACCCCGCGGTCTCGGTGCCTGCCTGGGTTAGCTTCTTTCGCAGCTCGTTTTCTAGCACAAAAAGGGAATCTTCTCTGAGCGGAGCCGAGCGCCCTCCAAAGCCTCTAAAAGCTACTGTGAAGTGCAGGTGGTGTCCACGCGTGCATGCCCCACGGCTCAGGTACCAGGCCGGGCTCCCATGATGGCTAGTCCTGCCCGCCGCAGATAGCCAGCAGCGCCTTGCGGTAGTCCCCGGACGTGTCCTTCTGAATGAAAGCCAAAAAGCCATGAAGAGACAAAGCATCTCGCAACCTGCCGACTCCAGCAGGCCAGCATTGCAGTGCAGGGGGAAAGAGGGCAGGGCTGGAAGAAGAGTCCCTAGCCCTTGAGCCCCGGCAGGATGCACGGATCATGGCCCGAGTGAAGCAGACCAAGATCCTGCCATACGAGGAAGGTGATGGGTGCTCTGGCCTTCCTAATGTTATGGGGAGCGGCGTCAGGTGTCCCCACTCCACTCCCACCACCCCAGAGGGAGCTGCCCCGGTGCTCTCAGGTGACAACCCAGGAAAGCGGCTCCCTGTTGGGATCGTAGCCCACCCATGGTCAGATGGATGGGGATAGGCACCCGGCATTGGTACCCGGGTGCCAGGGATGGGTGCAACCTCCTCACCTCAATCATTTTGTGCAGCGACTTCTCGTGCAGGTCGATGAACTCCTGCCGGATGTTGAGCAGGTCGATCTCGCTCCTGGAGACCATGATCCTGATGAGGGTCCTGTCATCTGTCCCGAGACCCTGGTGAGGAGCCCCATCCCCCTGCTTTTAATACTGTTATTCAGTGCCTAAGGCCAGGGCGCCCATCCACCCCCTGGCCAGCTTCTGCTCCAGTGGAGATCTGGGTTGGCATGTCCTGGGCTCCGAGCCATCGGGCAGAGGCCGGATAGGAGACCCCCAGGGACCAGCACACCTGCGGGTCAGGGAGTGACCCCATCATGAGCTTGTCTTTACCTTCATGGACTTGTACAGCTTGTCGGCAAAGAAGGCCGGCCTGTTCTTGATGCTCCGGACTAGAAACAGAGAAGAGAGTGAGCATTGCCAGCAGCTGCCCATGGCCCCAGCCCTGCCCTGCAGCCCTGCTGGCATCCGGCGGGGAGCTCACCGATGGCCACGAACGCGTCCCTCACGTCACCGGACATGCGCTTCCTGATGGCATGCTCCACGTCGTGGTTGGTCATCTTGACGAACTCCTGAAACACTGCGGGCAGGGGCAGGGGCAGGGGAGGACGTCACTGGCCGGAGCAGTCGGCCCGACCCCCACGCCCCGAGGCTGCTCCAAGTTGTGCCAAGGGGCAAAGAGGCCTTGAGTTGGGCCCAGAGTGGCAGAGCCCCCGCCATCTCCTGCTCATCCAGAGCCACATCGTGGACCAGAAGGGCCTGAGAGCTGTTGCCACCAACAGCATACGAGTATTGCCCCTTGAACCCAGTGGCCCGCAGCAACTCAGTCTCCCCAGGCCCAAAAAAGACCCTCCTGCTGCCACCACTGGACACTCGCCCTCAAAGCCCAGGCAAAGCCAGGGAGCCCACAACCACCACCGGCCAGCGCGCCGCGCGCCCACCTTTGCGCAGGTGCGGGTAGCTGCGGGTACACAGGATGCTGAGGAAGCGCGTCTCCAGGGAGTCGGTGTCGCCGCTGGAGACATCCGCTAGTTTCTGCAAAACCAAGCGAGGATGAAGGTGGGAGAGGGAGACGCGGCTCTTAATTCAACACCCTGGAGGCTTGCAGGGAAGAAGTGCTCCATTTCTGGGGGGAATCTTTGTGGAAAAGGGATTCTCAGCTCTAAAATGGGAGGCTGGTGCTGCTCTCTGCATCCAAACGACCTGGACCTCCGTGCTAGCTGCCCCCCACTGCAGGCCCACCCTTGGGCCTCGGCCCATGGGAAATGCCAGCTGGAGTGAACCTGGATCCCCACCCGGAGCCTGCAGCCCGATCCCGGGGTGCAATGGCCCAGCCCGTGCCCCCTGCCTCCGTGCAGCCCTCCTGGAAACCATGCGGTAAGACGGGCACTCACCAGGTTCTCAGCCACCACCTGACAGAGAGAGAGACAGAGAGAGACAGAGAGAGGGGGAGAAAGAGGAAGGCAACAGGGTCAGAGACTTGCTGGATAGCCCCTGGCCCAAGGGAGACCCCCTGGGACACCAAAGAAATGGAGGACAGTGTGGTAGAAGAGGGGACAGCCCTGGGAGGCTTCTAGCCTGGCCCTTTTCTGGTCCAGCTACTGGCAAACCTAGATGCATCCCTCTTTGGAGCAAGGGGAGAGGGCAGCGGGCAGACACCCCCCTCAAAGAAAGGATTGCAGCACTAATGATGCATGGAGAACTTTGCAAACCTGGCGTGGAACAAGGCCCCTGCCCCGGGGAGCCTGCCATCCACAGGCATGCCCACGCTAGCATTCGCCTAGCAGGTTTGGGAGCCAGGGGCTAGTTGCCCTGGCACCTTTCCCTGGCTCAGGCATCTCCAAGGAGTAGGGGGTCAGTTTTGCTCTCTGGCATGAGGCCAGGCTTCCCGCACGTGGCTGCAGGGAGCATTCGTGGCTGGCCTGGGCTGAACGGGGGACCTGGGTTTTGATCCGGCCTGCCTGGCATCACTCTCTGCCTCTCTCGCCGTCTCTCTCTGCAGCAGCCAAGGACTGGTGGGAGGATGCTGGGTGTATTTGCAAGGTCCGCGCCCCCCCTGCTGACAGCAACGCGAACAGCACCCACAGTTGCAGCCGCCACGCAAAAATGCATCCGTGGCAGGGGCTAAACATGCAGCCGAGACTGCGAAGTGGGAAGTACAGAGCCTGGGGAAGCCCCTTCGCAGACCAAAGGCAGAAGCAGGCTCTGCGAGACCCTGGCAGGAGCCCTAGGAAAACTGGGGCACGTTCACCTGGGGGGCCTGCATCTGACCTCAGCTCCACCCCTGAGAAGCAAAGTGCAGCCTCCAACCCGGGCAGCGCAAGGGGGCAAGCAGGGAGGACGGACTACAGCCACCATCCAGCAGCTGGGGGAGCAGACATGTAGCCCTAGGAGCCTCGACCCCCCACTCCACCGCGCGGCTCCAAGCCGGCCCTTCCAACCCAGCTCGCCGATAGTGTGGTTGCAAGCCCAGAGGGGCGAGCTGGGGATGGGCAAAGGGCATGCACTACATTGGCAAGCTCAGTGTTTTTTTTCTCTTGTTCAGAAGAGGGAACAAGAGGCGGGGACCAGTGGTTCGTGCTGCGCCTCGCCGGGAGGCCCTGGGTTCACTCCAGGCTCAGTATCAAGCGGGTGGTATTTCCCATGGGTCCAAACCAAAGCAGGTGTCTGGGCTCGCTTGCATTTGCAGCCCACAGAAATGGGCACCTTGCTCACTAGCTTCCCAGCATCCGAGTGTCTCCCCTGAGCGAGAACGCAGGGGCAGGGCCAGGATTTCCATGGGGCTGGGACCGTGCACCGTCCGCAAGCTGCCACGTACAGTTTCATGGCTGGGATGGACAGATGTGGGGGCCTAAAAGGTTTAACCCTTGAACCACAGCCCCCTTAGCAGAGGTGCTGAGCCCTTGCAGCTTGGAAACCCAGGTGGACAGATAAACACCACCCCCACCCACCTCCCACGCATGTGTGAATGCACCCTCCCACACAGCTCTCACCTTAGCATCCTCATGAGCTTGCGTCAGGTCTTCCGCTCCTTCATCGCGGTTGCCCTGTGTTTAAACATGATAGCAATGAAATTAGGCGCTTGGGAGGAACTTCTGCTGCTGGAGGTGAAGGGTCCAGAGTGGTGCTAGTCCTGGCTTTGCCTGGCAGCTGGAGGGCAGAGGCTCTCACAGTCCATGGGGGTAGCGATCAGATAATCCTCGCTGTGCAAGAGCTGTTGGGGACCTGTGTCTGCTCGGTGACTTGCTGGCAATGGGCAGAGACTGGAGGCTGAGCAGCACTGGTCCCACTACCTCCCCTCAAGTCCTTCCCCCTGCACCAGGACCATCCCAGCAATGCCTGGCCTCTGCACTGCCCTGGGCACACCGTGGATATCTCCACCGGTGCTCCCAGCAGCACCGACACCCGACCCAGCGAGGGCACGGGACCTGCTCCCCCCTGCACATCCTGCCACCATGCAGCTGCCTTGAGAGAAGATGAGGGGCCAGGAGGCGATCAAAGCCAAGTTGCCCTTCATGGAGGGGAGCAGCTGCCAGGGAGCTGGTCCTGGTCTCTGGTGATGCTCCTGGACTCTCCCCTTCCCGGCCAAGCACCTGCCGTCCCACCAGACCAGCTCCTCACCAGTGCCAGCGAGACGAGGATCCTCTTGAAGTGTCCTGATGTATCGGAGCTCAGAGCATCCTCCAGTGACTTGTTGTACACTGAGGGGACAGGGAGCCCGAGTGAGCACCGCAAGGGCACGCGTTGCTCAGCTCGAGTCTTCCCGGCTGGGATGGCAGGAGCCAGGCATCGCGGGCAGCCTCACGTGCGGCGTGGGCACGGAGCCGCGTGTGGGCAGACGGGCTCCCACCCAGAGGCGCCGGCAACTTGAGGCTCTGCTAGAAGACCCCCGTGCCCCTTCACCTGCTGCATAGGCCTCGTTAATGGCCTGGATTTCCCGGTTGTTGCGGGTGGCCAGAATCTCGATGAGGATGCTCTCATCCGTGCCAGCGCCCTGGAAGACAAGGGCAGGGCCAGGGAGGTTTGGGTGGCAGCCCCATCAAATCTGACACTTCCACAGTGCCCCAGAGGGCTGGTTTAGCCCCTACCTCCATGGCTTTCTTTAGCTGCTTGGCGTCGTACTGTGCCGGCGTCATCATGAGCGCGAGGATCACCTTGGCCAAGCTGCCCGACAGCTCCGACTTCAGATCTGCCAGCAGGTCCTGCCACAGGGAAGGACGGGAAGGGACCGCGGTTATCTCCACATCCCCGGGCAGGGAGTGGAGGGTAGGAGGGAGCGAGGAGCCTGGGAGGAAGAGGAGAGGGGACAAGGAGATCTGGGCTGGAAGGACAGAGGACACACGGAGGCAAGAAGCCCAGAAGAAATACACCGGTGGGGGGGGGAAGAGCTGAAGGGGCATGAAGCAGGGGAGGAGAGCAGCCGAAAAGGAGAGAAGGAGCCTGCATCTCTACCCGGCCATAATGGGACTTGTAGGCTTGGATGATCTGCTGCCTCTGCTTGTTGCTCCGGTAGGGGATCACGCCGATGATGGCATCTTCGTCCGTACCTGCACCGACACCGTCGTGGTGTGAGAAGCCAGAGACGTAGGCAGGCAGGCGGGAGAGACATCAGTAGCCCCACGCCTGCCACCTCCGACCCCGCACGGGAGCCTCCCCAGGGGCCCAGAGCACGGCTAGTGCCGAGACCTCGGGAGCTGCAGCCGCAGGCCTGGACCACCCTGCCAGCGCGCCCCGTCCCCTCCCCGTGCCCGGCTGAAGCTCCCGCAGGGAGCAGCGAGGCCCCGGGTCCCACTCACCAAGGCCCTTCATGGCTTTCCGCAGCACCTGGGCATCCCCGTCGGCATTGAAGTCGGCGGTGGGGCGCACGGTGCCTTTCAGCTGCGGGAGGGGAGAGGGTTGAGGGGGAACCTGGGAGCCACCCCAGGCCGTCTGGGGCAGGGACAGGGGGTTCCCAGCAAGTGAGGGGCAAGGGGGCTGGTGGGATCGGAGCAAGCGGCCCGGCAGTGAAGGAGAGAGGGAGCCAAGCCAGCAGAGAGCCCAGAAACTGCCCCCCAGGTGGGGAAAGGTCAGAGGAAGCCTCCTACCCAGGGAAGAGAGAGGGGAGCTACGTGGCTTGGAGGGGCTCACATCTCCCCTCTGCCCAGGTCTCTGGGTCCTTTGCATGGTGCCTGTCCTGGGTGACCGAGACCCCGGGACACGCGGGCCCTGCGGGTACCCCCCAACTCTCCCACTGTGCCCACTCCGGTGCACAGCAGGGCAATGCTCCCTCCTGCAACAGCTTCCCCGCTGCATACCCCCGTCCACCCAGGCACATGGGGCACCCCATCCCCACCCGAGCAGGCTGCCCTGGAGTGGGGGCACCCCCAAAGCCAGTGCCCAGGGGACACACATGCAGCCTCCGGGGTCGCCGGCCCCGCGCTCACGTGTTAGAAGTGCGGTTAGTGTTGGCACACCGGGGAGCATGCGGTGCAGGAGGCCGCCCCCGAGATCAGAGGGATGGAGAGAGGCAGTGAGATCCAAGCCAGCGAGGAGCAGAGAGCAGGGGGCAAGGGGAGGGAGGGGGCAGCTCTGACCTCGACTTTAGCCACCGCCACCGCGCTAAGCTCCCACATCCGATAGGCCACTTGCGCCGCCTCGGGGAAGAACTCACCTGCCGCGCTGCAAGGGGAGGGCACAGCACACACCGCCGTCACTGTCTGGGCACCTGCCACGGGCACAGCCCACACCCGCCTGCCACGGCCAGCCCACCCTACTCAAGCCATTGAGCTCAGCCTGGAGGTGGAGGGGCATTTGCTCTGCTTACAAGCCCTGGCTACATTCGGGGATGCTGGGAGAGGGCAGCGCCAGGACATTCACAGGTGGATGGACAGTGTTAGCGGTTCTCGGGCACGGCTGGTGTGCTCAGTCTCAGCCGCTTGGTTGGAGGGGTCCTGCACCAAGCACCCCCCGTGTCCCGTGCGGCTGTGTCGCTTCCAGCAAGTTAGCATTTGCATGGCCAGGGCCTGGCCTCACCTAGCTTGGCCCCTACCTGGATGGGATGCAGGCAGCTGGCATCCTGATGGGAGTTACCCCAGGGACTGGGGCGGACAGACTGCCATGACTGCTAGCAGGCGGGATGGCCTGGCCTGCCCTGCCCTGGATGGGATGAGCTCTGGGACCCAAAAGAGGACTTGCTTCCGCTGGGGTTGTGGGACACGTGCCAACTCCATACCAGCCCCCCCATGCCAAGGCAGGGGCACTGATGCCTACATGTTAGGTGTCCCCAGCTTTTTCCCCCCCAGCTACAGCTAGGCCCAGTCCCCGCGAGAGGAGCAGGGATCCTGGAGAAGGGAGCTGACAGGGCTTAGGGGTGACTTTGCACCAACCATCACCCGGAGTGGGGCTCTGCAGGGCTGCTCCCGCACATCCCCATGGCAGGTGGCTGCAAGAGCCTCGTGTCAGCAGGGTCTGGGGCTGGCCTGGAGGTGGAGGGTTCACCTGGGGGACTTACCAAGGAGGATGTGCTCGTGTGCATGCATGTATGTGTGCACACGTGTGTGTGTGTGCGCATGCATGCATTTGTGCGTGCACAGTTGGGCTTTTCCAAGACCACAGCAACATGTGTGCGTGCACGGGGAGGCTTTTCCAAGACCACAGCTAAACCCCAACATGGCACCACCAGTGCTCAGGCCCTGGCTAGGCACAGGGGTAGGATAAAACCCAGAGGGATGCGTGCACGCGCTTACTCGTCGTCTCCCCCACACAGCTTCAGCAGCGCCTTCTTGTACTCGCCGGATGTGTCCTCCTGGAAGGGAAGAGCCGGAGCGAAGCGTCAGACCCGACTGCAGCAGGGAGGGAGGTCTCCTGCATGGGTTGCTGGCTGCATCCACCCCCTCGACCCCACAGGGCAGCCTGGCCCGAGCAGGATGTGGTGCACGGTCCTTTCCGCACTTCCCCAACACCGCTGCCCCCAGCACGGCGGGGTGGAGGGGGAAGATCTTTTTCCTCCAACATATTCTAGTCTCAGGACAGTCTGGGTGGTGACAGGATGAATGGAGGGGGCTTTTGGCCAGTTGTGGGGGCCAGGATGCTGGCACAAATAGCAGGTCTGGGGAGCCCCGACTGGGAGAGACAAGCAAGGATACCCAGAGATTTCCTGCCTAGCATTGCCCAAGCTGCTAGCAGAGGCACGGCTCCCCTGTGCCCCCGGGGACCAGGAGGCCTAGCAGCATCCTGAGGCTTGTCCTAAGAGCGCAAGGAAAGAGGCAGGCCGATGGGAAGCAGCCTCGGATGCTCCAGCATCTCTCTGGGGAGCAGGGAGGATGGGGAGCTACTGCCTTTATCCCCGTACCTTGATCATGCTGTAGAGGGACTTCTCGTACTTGGTGCGAAACACCTCGCGGATGTCCAGCATGTCGATCTCGCTGCGCGACACCATGATGCGGATCAGCGTGTTGTCCTTGGTGCCCAGGCCCTGGGGGTGGGGACGGGCCGAGCATTAGGCACCCAGCGAGGCATGGTCCCAGAGGGCACGGACCATGGGGCTGCCCTGGGGGTACCGTGGGCCGTGGCTCTGTACCGGTGGTGCACCCTGCTCTGCGCAGAAAATCGCCGCTCCCTGCCTGCTGCCACCCAGCACGACAGCCCAGCTCCCACTGCTCTGAGCTCAGGCCCCGATACTGGGACCCGGCTGGCAGAGGGGGCTCCAGGCACCCACCTGCATGGCCTTGTAGAGCCGCTCGGCAAAGTACTCGGACGTGCTCCTGATGCACTTCACTGCGGGGAGAGCTTCGTCAGACCAGATCCTTGCTCTCAGCCTGCCCCGTCCTCCAACCCCTGTGGCCCAGATCAGGGGCACTCGGTTGATCCCTCCAGGCTTGTGACCCGTCTCAAACACCAGCTCGGGGCTCTCCTTCCCGCCCTCAGGGTCCAGGCAATGCCCGTAGCACTGGCTCTTGAAGCTATTCTTCATCTCCTCACCCTCCACAGCAAAGGAGGGCTGGATGGAACAAGAGCTGCAGCGTTGGGTGTGCGATTCAACCGGCTGCAATGCAACGGGCATTGGCCAATATAGCCCCTGAGCTGGGCTCTGCGGGACTGCACTATCCAGGCATTTGCTGCGTGGTCAGGAGGGACAAACCTTGGCACATGGGCCCTACCAGGCTCTCCATCGAGTGCCTGCTTACCCACGGCCAGCATCAACTTCTCGAAGTCCCCGGACAGCTCGGCCCGGATGCTGTACTCAATGGGCTTCCCGGAGATCTTCAAGTACTCGTCGAAGACTGCCAGAGAGAGAGCACGAGAAGGGTCCCATCACAGCCTGTTCTGGACTGGGGAGGGGGCTGGCGTCTTTGGGGGCCCCGTGAGCTCAGACTAAATGCCCTGCCCACGGGGTGGCAGGAGACACCACCGATGGGCCTCAGATCTGTGCTGCCTCCTGGATTTTGGTCCCTCCCCTCTCCAAAATGTGTCACCTTCTGCAGAGAAGAGGCTGGCAAATGGTCTCAGGGCCCAGGCTGAAGGCTGTGCCAGGACTGGGGTGCAGGCAGGTGGGTTGAGGGCATCTGATCCCACAAAACCCGGTGACACGTCCTGCCCACATTTGGCAGGAGGGCAAGACACGTACACCACCTCACCACCCCTGGGTGAGGTGTGGCCCCTCCCCAGTTGGATTGGGGATCTCACCTAGCTGGAGGTGCTGCTTGCTTCGGTGCCCCAGGATGTAGATGAACTGGGCCTCATCTGTGCCCCATTTCGCCTCCCCGGCATCCAGCAGGTCCTGGCAGAAGGGAGAAGGCAGTGGGAAGAGCCAGCGAGATTCTGGACTCTGGGATCCACCACACTTAGGAGCCAGCATCCATGCCCCCCACCCCGGGCAGGCCCCAGCCTCCACAGGGCAGGGCTCCTCTCAGCATGGCAGGGCGGGAGGCTGTACAACAGCCTCATCCGCAGGCGCGCAATCAGTTCAGAGTCTGACCTGGTTCATCTTCTTTACCTGTTGTGTCCATGACTGTGTGCGCACACGCATAATGTGTATGTACGTGCATGCATAATGTAATGAGTGTGTGCGTGCAATGTGTAATGTACATGTAATGCATGCATGCATGCGTGTACAACATGCGCATGCATTGCTCACACATGCACGTGGCCAAGGCACATGGATAATGTGCAATGTGCGTGCAACACATGCATATGTAATGTATATGTGAGCAATGTGTGCGTGCAATGCGTTCACACGTGGCCAATGCATGTGGATAATGTGCAATGTGTGTGCATGCAACACGTGCATGTTTAATGTGTATGTGAGCAAGGTATGCACGTGTGGCCAATGCATGTGGATGTGTAATATGTGTGTAGTTTGTAAATGTGCAATGTGGGTGCATATACATGCAATGCATGTGCGGGGTGTGCAGTGCATGTGTGCAATGCACATGCACACAGTGCAAGTGTGCATGCGGGTCCCTATGGTTTGGCTGCCCCGACTTCCCTTGCAGGTCCCAGCTGGGTGCATGCAGGAGCCTTTCTACCTGGCCAAAGGGCAGCCCATAAAGGGCCGGTCTGCACTGCCCGCCCTGCAGTACCGACCTGCAGAAGCTGGCTGGGGACAAGCTGAACCCACCCTGGCTGGCAGGGAACCACAGGGCTGGAAGGGACCAGCGAGCCCAGCGCCCCAGGGTGGTGGCCATACCTGCCAGCAGACACCATCCACGAGGACAATGCTCCCAGCACTTACCTTGGCGTCCTGCTCCACCAGGTCCTCGCTCACCACGTCGTCCTCCTCCCGGGTGCCCTGCAGCACAGACAAGGCGTCAGTCCCGCTGAGGGGGGACGGACAGACAGGTAGGGAGGGGAGGGAGGGACGCACCTGCAACAGGACGACCAGCATCTTCTTGAAGTGGCCGGAGGTGTCTCCGAGGATGTCGCCCTCCAGTTCCCTCTCGTAGGCTGCGGCAGGGGGAAGGGTCAGCACGGGCGAGCTGGTCTCCAGCCCTCACACAGCAGGGTCTTTCTCCCACCCACATCCATGTGGGCCCCCACCCACCCTCTCTTGCCCTGTGGCAGCGCCCTGGCTCCGTCCCCAGCCCAGGACGGGCGGCACGGCCCCGGCCCCCTGCTCTCACCATCTCTGTAGGCTGCCAGCAAAGCGTGCATTTGCTGGTTGGTGCGGGAGGCCATGATCTCGATCAGGCACTTCTCATCGGTGCCAACACCCTGCGGGCAGAGAAGGGGCGACGCTAGGGGCTGACTCCAGGCAGCCTGGCAGTGCCCGAGCCGGGCTGCATGGAGCCATCTCTGACCTGGATGGCATCCTTGATCTCCTTGGCGTCGTGGTACGCCGGGGGCCTCATCAGCCCCACGATGAGCCTCTCGAACTTCCCAGTCAGCTCATACTTCAGGTCGGCAATCAGGTCCTGGCAGGGAAGAGGGCGTGAGGTGCCGGGGAACGGATGGACCTCGCATCACCTCCTCCCCCTGCACGGTCCCGGCTCTTACCTTGCCGTACAGCGACTTGTAGGCCTGGCAGATCTCCACCCTCTGCCGGTTGCTGCGGGACGTGATCAGGTCCAGGATGGCCTCCTTGTCGCTGCCTGTGGGAAGACACGGTCACTCGCTACTGCTGGGGGCCCGGCTGCTCCGGGAGCAGATCTGGGGGGGCGAGAGGGAGCAGGAAGGATGGAGAGACCGACGGGATGGACCTAGCGCTTGGCACGCTCCCTAGCCCCCATCCGGTGCCAGCCTGGCCTGGATGGCTGCCCGCAGGCTCCTGGCATCTGCCTCCCGGGGGATTCCCAGGTGGGGCACACGTACCGAAGCCCTTCATGGCGTTGTACAGCGCCTCGGCGTCCTGCTGGGCGTTGAAGTTGGGGAAGTCCTTCACCGAGCCCCGGTAGACGCCAGCCTGCAGAGAGAGGGGCAAGACGGGGAGAGGCGGGAGCCTGGCTTGCTTTGCTCCAGGCTCCTCCATGGCTGATCCCATGAAGACCCCGTCTGTCTCCTGGCAGGGGCATTCCCAAAGCAGCTGGGAGCCGACCAAACCCGGACTAGTTGCTGGGCGTCTCCATTTCACAGAGGGAAGGTGTGTCAGGGGGAAACTGAGGCACAACCATGGGGAGAGATGTGCCCACGGTCCCCCAGCCAACCGGCCATTTATGCAGGGATGGCACCCTCTGCTCTAACCACAAGGCCTCCTAGCCAAACCCAGAGACACGTTCTTCCCAAACTGCAGTGCAGCCCGGCACGCTGACCCCTGCCAGCGCGCATCCAGTCCTGGGGCAGGAGGGACCCGGCGCTCTGCCCGGCTCCGAGCAGCATCGGGTTGCAGGAGATTCATCGCTTTTCTGTAAGCTGCCCACGCACATGCCTTGGCGAGACATAAATACACGCTCCCAGGCGCGGCAGGCGCTGGCCCGAGACAACAGCGACAGGGGGAGGGGTGGGTGCACATTGGCTTTAGAGAGGTCCAGGCAGGGGATCCTGGTGGGACGAAGCAGCGGGCAGGGACTGGCAGCGGCACACTGCGCTCATGCAGTTAAAGAGCTTAATATTCCCCCCGCGCCGTGGGAGTGAGAATTTGGCAGTCCTCGGGGTAGAGGTCCGGGGTGGCTAAGTGTCGTGACTGAGGCCACACAGCGAGGCGGTGGCAGAGTCAAGAACAGCGCCCCCCCCTCAGGAGCCTGGCACTGGGCTCTCTCAAGGGTTCAAGGGACCCCACAGCACCCCTCTTCGAGGCTGTTCCCCAAGGAAATGCTGCAGCCGTACCATGCCCTATCCCCGTGGACCTGGGCTTGCAGAGGTCTCTCGAACGCCGCTTGCCTATGAGGGTTGGCACCCGTCTCCAGTGCCCCTGGGACCCCCAGGCCACCCGTCCCCCTCTGGGTGCCATGGGGCAGCTCCCACCTCCCGGTCTCCCTTCCCCCACGGCACTGCATCATGCCAGCTCCAAACGGCCGGACACTATAAATAGCCGGGCCGCTCCTCGGCTTGGAAGCTGGATTCCCAGCACGTCTTTCCTCCTCCTCCATCTTCCCTGCCTCACTCACGCCGGGGACCCGAACACGGGCACACGCTACTGGAGCCCTGCCCCGTCCCTCCTGCCTCTCTCTCCCCTGCAGCCCCGGGGGCTGTTCATCCTGCAATGGGATGAAGCATCGAGGCACCTCCGCGCTACCAGGGAACAGGCCGTCATACATCCATGGTGCATTCGTGCCTGCAATACTGTGCCCGGCTCAGGTCCCCATGCCTCAGAAAGGGGAGAGAGGACCTAGGGATGGTTCAGAGAAGGGCAACAAGGATGACGAGTGGCATGGAGAGGTCTCCAGATGGGGAGAGGCTAAAGAGGCCAGGCCTGGTCAGCTTAGAAGAGATACTCGAGGTGGGAGATGAGAAGGGTTTGCAAAATGCTAACTGGCGAAGAGAAAATAAATGGGGATTTATTATCGGCTGTCTCTGAAGACAAGAGCAAGGGGTCACTAACTCCCTAGATTCACAGATTCACGTTCACAGCTGGAAGGCTGCAAGGGGAAGGAACAGGGGGAAAAAAGCCTTGGTTGGACCCCGTTTGCTCTCCCTTTCGTCCTCCTCTCTCTGGCACCGTGTGCCACAGGAGACTGGGCAAGATGGGCCTAGGGCCTGAGCCAGTCAGTGGCAGCTCTTATGCCTCCAAAATGGGGGGCAGAGAGAACCGGGGGGCCCATAGCTGTCCCCAAGGGACTCTATCAGAGCCCCTCCAAGGCCACGTCTACTGGACAGACGGACGCCTTTCGGGCTGGTGCTGGGGGCGGAAGCAGGGGCTGAGTCTCAGCAGCTAGGCAGGGCGTGGGAAGCTGTAGCAGAGGCCTGTGCTATATGGATCAGGCCCACAGCAGCATCGTGCAGATGCACAGAGTCCAGGAGAAAAATGCCCCCCCATCTTCATCAGGCCCTCCTGGGCTCTCCTCTCTGTTCTGCCACTGCTTGATGGCATGGTCTTGGCCATGACACTTTGCCTGCCTGGATCCCTGGCAGGGGTGTGCTGCAAAGGGGAAAACGCTGGCACCGGCTGGGGGGAGCGTGAGCCACCACCAAGGATGTGCAGATCAGAGGCAGCGCTGCCAGGGATAATGAGCTTCATTGATAATAAGCTTGGGTGGGGAGGAGCAGGGCCTTGCACTGGGGAGGTGGCTGGGGGCTGCTCTGGCCCACAACAGCTGTGCTGTGCTGCACGCGGGTGTGGGTTTCATTGACACCTCCCCTCCCTGCTTCTCTCCCCATCACAGCCCTGCCTCCCTCCCCGGCTCTGCTGGGATCACAGGCTCGCGCCGAGAGCAGGGAATGTAAACAGACTCTGTCAGCAGGACCTCACATCTCCCTTGCTCGGCGCCCACGTCCTGGCTGCTCCGAGCCGAAAGCAAGCAAACAGCCATGCAGACAGTCCCGTGCCTCCGGGGCAGGGGCACGGCGAGATCCTGGGCCAGCCCGAGGACAGACCTGCTCGCCCAAGTGTTAGGGAGTGGGCTACAGCTGCCCTGGAGCTGCTGGCAGGGTGCAGAGGAGCCAGAAGAAATGCCAAGTGTAACCAAGCCCCTTGGGACTGCCCGCCCCTGCCAGGGACCCATCCCAAGACCCCCCGGGACCCCTGGTTTGGCAGAGGATGGCAGCGCTTGCAGGGAGTTCGGTACCTTTCCTGTGGGTGCCATGGCTGCTGGTCAGAGTCCAGGAGGCGGTGAGGCAGGAGCTGCAGGGAAAGGGAGAATAGAGGCATGAGCAGGGGGACATGGCGTGAATCCGGAGCAACTGGCTCTGCCTTTTACCTGGCCTGACCCAGGATAAAAAGCTGGTCTGGATTAGCCTGCTGGCCCGCACCATGTGGCGACTGCCCCAAATGCCCAGCTGCGCTGGCCCAGCTGTCCTTGACCCACTGCTGCTCTGTACACCCCCAGAGCCCAGGCAGGTGCTGCAGATAGGGGTTGGCAGGCAGGGCCCGGGTGCAGGAAAGGGCTGGCATTGCTCCCAGGGTGACATGGGTGCCGCTCTGCCCTGCTGCTGGGTCTGCTTCCCGATGCTCTCCTCTGCGTCCCAGGCGAAGGCAGGGAGGGGAAGGAGAAGCAGCAGGGAGCTGCACTGAGCAAGGGGCATCCTCGCTGACATCTTGCACCAAATGCCCGGGCCTGGCTGCCTGGGAGACCCCCTCCTCGCTACCCGGAGACGGTGCTCCCTGGAGACCCCAGCCCTCTCTGGGCTCTGCTGGCACCGGTGCCTGGAGCACGTCACGCTGCTGCACCAGCCCCTCGGGTCCTGCAGACTGCGCACCCGTAGCTTGCACAGCCCCAGGACCCAGCATGAGCACCCCAGTTAAGCCAGGGGGGAGCACTGGTGTGACAGGGCACTGGCCCTAGATCTCAGAGGGGGAGAGGGTGATGGTGAACACCTCCAGAGAGCCCAGCTGATGAACCAGGGAGGGGATGGAGGCTGCACTGGATACACCTCCGGGAGCCCTGCAATGCAGATCCACAGCCTTGGGCGGGGTGGGGGAAGCCAGACAATGCTCACACTCGCTGGCTCGCTCCCTCCAGCCCCCCGGAGACCCCAGGCTTGGGCCTGGCCCTTCCAGCTTGCCGCTCCCCATCTCAACCCCAGCCACGCAGCTGAGATTAGCAATCAGAGCCGGATGCCGGATGCACCCCCAGCCCCAGGAAGTCGGCGCGGGGTCCCCATGGCAACTTGCAGTCCTCAAGGATCACATGCACCCCAGCGGAAGCGGAGGGGTTGCCCCTGGGACGGGGGTCCCCAAGGGAAGCAGGCGCTTTTGCTCTGGGGGTAGAGCAAAGCCGTGGGGCCAGGGACCGTGGAAATGAATGAGTGCCGGGCTGCGTCACCTGATCCCCTTGCTCCCCCTCCCTGCCTGACACGTTGCAAGAGCGCTCGGCCGTGGCGCGGTGCCCAGGCAGTGGTTTGAAGAGGGGCCCTTGGCCTGGGAGCAGCTTGCAGGCCGCCGAACCCCTCCGGTGTGATGTGCTCGGGGTCTCGGGGGCTTGCTTCTCACCCACCGCAACGTGCCAGCAGCCTTGGGCTGGTCACTGTTGCTAGCACCCAAGGGATGGGTTTGGGGTGGAGCCCTCCTTTATGCACCAGCATGGGCCTCTGTTCTCCGCCTGCTCTGTGGGGTCTCGGTGGACATGCGTATCCACCCCCAGGATGCAGACAAGCGGATGTGGGCACCGTGGGTGCTCTGCTTTGCCCCCGGGCACTGCACTGTGGGGCTGGCACCCTGCCAGCTGCAGGGGGTCCTTCACCCCAGAGCTGGGGGGCAGCTCCCTCAGACCCCACAGCCTTGGAGAAGGCCAATGGGCACTTCCCTGAGGCTGAACCCCACTCCGAAGGGATCATCACTGCCTCCTCTACCTCCCTCCCACCATTATCCGGTGCATGCCGGAGAGCAGGAGGCTGCAGGGAACAGCTGCAGCGACAGCTGCCTGGCAGCCGCCCACCCCCCTGGGCCCAGAGCCATGCTCAGAGGGGGCTCTGTGCTGGCCCCCAGCGCTGGTGGGGTAGAGGGGATCAGTCACCGTCTCACTCCCGGGCTGCAGACATGGCCCCCACCTCCCAGGCCATCCTCCACCACGCACCCGCCCGCAGCAGACATGCGGCAGGGCGCGGCCAACTGCATCCTGCCTGCTCCCTGCAAGGCCCCCAGAGACTGGCCGCTGCCCAGCCTGGCCCCTTATCGGTGCCCTGAAGTGGGTCACCTCCACTCCTCAGCACTTCAAGGAGTGCCCCCCACTGTCAGGGGCCTCCAGCTTGGAGCCAGCCCCTCTCTTCCCCCAGGGCGGATGGCATGGCAGCTTGGGGCAACAAGTGTGGGGTGGCAATGAGATATTTCCAGCACTGGGTGCATGCTAGCTTCAGGGCTCCTAGTGAGGGGTGGGGCCGGGGGGAATTCACCCTTCACATTTGCAAATTCACATTTGCTGGGAATCCCAGGCCCCTCCCTTTGCAGCTGCCTGGACCCAGGGTGGGGTCCTGGGAGCACAGACAGCAGCTGCAGCTAACAATGCTCCAGGTGCTCAGGGGGATGCTCATCAATGATTTACCAGCAAGCCATCCTGTCCCCCTCCCTTAACCCCTTGCGGAGCAGAGAACCTGCCCAGAGCTCCCCTTCCCAAACAGCTCCCACCTGCTCCCTGCCCTGGGGGTGCTCCAAGAGCCAGCCCCAAATCCCCCCTGCAAAGTGGGATGAAGCCCTGCCTGCTTGTGTGTGCTGCTCTGGGGTGTTCCTCTTTCACACAGAGCTGGGGAAGCCGTGGTCTAGGGGTTATTTTTAAATCTTGCAGAAGTGGCAGCCACAAAGGACAGTGCCAGGCGGTGGACAGACCGGGCGGTAGACGGGCAGGCTCTTTTAGGGAATCCTCCTTGAAGGCACGGACACCAGCTCTGCCCCAGGAGCTCAGTGCAGGCCCCTGGCCTAGCTCCTTTGGTCTCACCATAACACAGCAGCTTGTAGGGTGGTGAAAGCAGACCTCATGGGAGTTTAATAAAAATTAAAAAGAAGAGATCCCATGTTTCCCTAGACCCCCCTGAAATACCTGGCGGCAAGCTTCGATCCCCCAGCCTTTGGGCTGCTGCTGAGACAAGCAGCAGCCCAAAGAGACCCCCAGACCCGAGCTGGCAAACCCCTCCTTTTAAAAACGCAGCCCTACAAAGTTTCAGGAGCAGGGGAAAAAAGTGATCCTGGAAGAGTCCAAGGAGAGAACGGGGAAGCGAATGCGAATTAATGACCGTTTGCGCCGTCTCCTGCTATAGATGCGACAAGGGAGCAGGCCCACCCTGCCTTGGGGTCAGACTTTGCTGGCTGCCTATGGGCTGGATTTGCCCACTGGGACCAGCCAAGCAAACCCCTTGGGCTCGGCTTGGCATCCCCGCTGCAGGGCTCGGCCGCGCCCAGCAGTTCCCTCGTTGCAGACACTGCCCCGGTGCCCCGAGCGCCAGCTCCAGCAGGCGTGCCACGGGCCAGGCTGCGTGGGCACAGAGCAGGGCAGGGCATCGAGCATCCAGAACCGACCCTAAAGGCAGGCACGGGGGGAGCCTAAAACTCCCAAAGCCCCTTTTGCAAGCATGGGGGGTGCTACCAGGGTGTCTTTCCCCCGTGGGGTACCAGC